CAGCCTGAAGTTAGTAGATCTCAGCCGACCTTACATGACACAATGTCTCACATTCCTAACACCTGCTTCACGGACGGACAACAAGTGGAAAACCCTGGTCTTGCCTTTTCTGTAAGTATATGATTTTAAGATGTATTTTAATGTCCTGAAAAATCCAGAATCCTTTATTAATGCTGAATATGCAAAAAAAATTGCAAAAATGCTTCCCTTAATACTCACAAAGTTGATTTTCTTAAAATAAAAAACATAGATGGTAGACACAGAAGATAGCCGTTTAAGAGTTGAAGATTGGATGTACAGTACATTTCTTTTAATTCAAAATACTAAGTTTAATACCTATTATGATTTACTTATTAAGTTCAAAAAAATTATGAATGAATCCTCAATGTTTCAGATTGAATGTTTGGTTGGCAATCATGCTCACTCTATTTCTTGGAGGATTTATCTTCTACATTCTTGCCCGCTACCATCGTCATCTGGAGAAATCCTTTTACAAAAGCACAAAAAATAGATCATGGCTTAACAAAATAAGCTTTGGAAGATTTCCTTACAAGAAAAACAGAATTAAGAAAATAGACGAAGAAAAGGGACTGCCATTGAGGACCTTGGTAAATAATTACATCCCTGAGAAGACTCAAGGGCTGCACATATTTGAGGAGCTGCAGAACAGCGTGTTGTATACTTACGGGATGTTGGTGTCTGTATCCCTTCCGAAAGTTCCTACGGGCTGGGCTTTACGTATGATGACCGGATGGTGGTGGTTCTACTGTCTTCTGATGGTGGTCAGCTACCGGGCGAGTCTTACAGCCATCTTGGCCAAACCTGAACCTATGTAAGTGTGTATTTTAACATTAGATTTTTACGAACCCAAAACACCAGGGTTCATATTTTATGATGGAGATGAGTGTTAAATGAAATTATAGCTTTGGTACTGCCAAAGCTAGATCAGCTGTTTTTTTTTTTTTTTACTGGACTAAATAATATTAAAACTAAAAGTTCATTGACCAAGGACACTGGGTCCAGGTCCAGTAGAACCATCAAAGGTGTCAGACTTTTTTTCAGGATTGAACCATTGACATTCTGAATACTACACAATCATATCCTCAGTTATCCATAGCTATTCTCTGTATACAATAAGGAATCTTTGTTTAAAGATTTTTTTTTGCTATAAGTGGATATTATTATAAAGATGGTATTGGACATTTTCCTTCACAATATTGGTGAAAGTTTTCACAATTGATTATAGATTTGAAATCTGATCCCATCTTCGGGTGGGAAAGTACAGTACCTAAAACATAACAAGATAAATACGCCAACCCTGTCTAAGCTGGAAATTTGCAAAAGAAACCCCACTCCAGAACTCTACTATAGTCAAAACAAGAAACAAAAAATCCTGAAAGAAAACGTCAACAAGTACAAAGGGTAGCGTTTAGAAATACTTAAACTGTTTGTTGATAGAGTTACCATCGACTCGATCAACGAGCTGGTGAACAGCCCAGTTAGATGCGGCGGCTGGGGCGAACCTGAGAAGCTGTTTTTCACTACATCCTTCGACCCTGACATTCACAAGATCGGACTCAAGTTTGAGACCTTGACTGACGTGGAACAAGCCATCAACAGAGTTGCGTCTGGTTCCTTCACTTACTACCAGAACATCTATCTGTTGCAACATGCTGCAATGAAACACTTATCACGCAGCAACGAAACAGATCAAACCCAAAGTGGTAGGGAATGTAGACAATCGGGAATGGAAATTTGAAATATATTTTGATTTGTGAGCCATACTGACCTAAAGAAAGTTAAAATTGTTGTGGACAAGATTTGTTAAAACTGTTGTATCTTTTAAGACTAAACGTTAACTAACTATTGATGGTTTTTATCTCTTGGTCTTTGTAAGTGTTTAATCATCTCTGAATGAAAAATAATTGTTTCATTGTAGACTTCTAGGTATTTTTATGTTAACATTTGGTTTCACAAAATTGGTGCATCAATAAATTTATAACGACGCTTTTGGTCACCAACGTTCTTTTGTGTTCATACAAAAGTTGTAGACTCTCATGTTGCCTAATTAATTGGTAATTCAAATTACCGTTATTCATGAACCTTGGGACCGGACCCTTGCCAAAAAATAATAAGGTACTGTAGTAACAACTATACCAAGCAGCACTGAAAACTGAACAGACTGTAACCTGTTTATCTAGCTTTGAACAAACTTGAATGTATGTGTAGCCTACAAGCGACAGACGAGTAGTGGTGTGAAACAGAAAAAAAAAATTAATAGACAAAGTACTTAACATGTTAAACAAACACAGATGTGTCCAAACCTTCCGAAATTAGGACAAAAATAATCATTTTTCAATAACTACAATTTATTGAGATGACTTGCAAGAACACAGGCTTTATAAACATGACTTTAAGTTCTTACGACAAAGAAAATAATGAAAAGCAAATAATAAAAAACAAAATGATCGGACACTACGATAAAGTATTATTTGCTCACAATCAACTAACCACATTTAACCTGAAGTATTTTCACCTAGGAGAGGAGACCAGCAAGCACAATCTACACATTATGTCAGATTGTGTAATTTCAATGCCGATCAGCATTGGACTTGAGAAAAACTCACCACTGAAACCTCGCATTGACGAATTTATTCAACGTGTTGTTGAAGCGGGGCTCATACACAAATGGCTCGGTGATGTCATGGACGAAGTCCGTCGGAGGAATTTCATCTCCAGTACAGAGCAGGTATGAAAGTTGTGCTACAGTTTAAAATAGTTGATATAGCCTAAATGACATTTATATTATCAAATGGTATCCATTAAACTGTTCTGGCTGTACACCAACTGGCTAAACTACTAAATCGATTGGGCAGATATATAAAAAAAAGCTAAGACTACAAACCCAACACATAGAATCATGTCCTTATAAATCCACTCTGACTGTGACATCCAACGAGGTTGAGCTTTAGGAAATAAAAATAGATGGGTTTCCATCCAACAATAACTGCAATGTTTTAATTGATTTATTCTGTTGTTCCTACCAGTAGCTGGTTGAATTAAACCAAGAAGAATTCAAACTAAATGGTAAACTTATGTTTTGTTTCTAAAACATATGGATGGTATGAAACTATTTTCCACATTAGATTAAAGAACAATATTATTGCTCACTCCGAAACACAGGAAAAGAAACTATAGTTTTCAACTAAAATGTTATTAAAATGTAGGGCTATTTTCATTTTTTTAACTTTTGATTTTTTTCTTGCAGGTCAAAGCTCTGATGGACATGAGGAAGTTTTCTGGAGCTTTGGTGGCTCTAGGAGTGGGCTACATTATTTGTATTCTCACTCTTATTGCGGAAAACTTGTATTGGCATTTAGTCGTCAGCAAACACCCTCTGTTTGACAAATATTCCATGGCACAGTTTTATTTTTGTAACAAATAAAATTACAATTACAGTCGGGACCACATAAGTTTGCAGTTGGTGGCAGCCAATCACAAGACAAGGCTAATGCGATGTTGCCACATCGCCAATGACAACACTAAACATTTATTACAATTAATTATTAAAAAATCAAATATAATGGATAAGATATAGTCTAACAAAATAACAGTACAACACCCCTGACTCAGACAGATGTGCTCATTTAAAAAAAAAATCGTCCACTTTATAAGGACATGTTGTATCTAGATGAATTTCCAGTTTTTTAAAAAATGTGTTAGTTTTTTTTTTCTTTTTTTATCTCTGGTGGAAGGTGATTAAACAGTTGAATTGCCATGTAATATGGACCCTTCTCCAAAAGAGACAATCTATGTTTAGGGTACCGCAGTGTCTGTGTTTCTTGTACCCTGAGTCCTCAGACTGTTATTTGAAAAATACTGTTGATGTTTTTTAAAGAATTTCAGAACTTCAAAAATATAAAGAGCTGGTACAGTTAATAGTTTAGAATTTTTGAAATATTGTTTCAATTATGATTATTGTTGGTTATGATTATGTTCAATTGGATTATTGTTGTTCCAATTATGAGACTAAATAAGTGTTTGATAAAGTTATGAAGATCGGTCATGAATAGACCCCAGTGTAGGAAATGCATATTAACTGGTGCTTGATTGGTAAAATTTAGTAGCTTAGATCTAAACTGAAAACAAAATTAATAACTCCAACTAAATTGATAATTATATTTAAAATTAGTTCTTCCCCAATATGAAGAATAATCCATATGAAACAGGAAATAAAGAAAATTTAGCTGTGGATGTCTATCTTATCTAATGTTCCTCTTATCCCTCAAGTTATATATGGTTATATATAGTTTTAAAGGGAAAATAAATACTACACAAGAAAATACTAAATGGTAACAATGAAATATTGTGTTTGCTGTGTATACTCCATTGAATCGTTCTTGGTTCTATTTTTACGACGGAGAAAATATTTGCTTTCACGTACTGGACGCCCCCATCAACAGATTAACCCTGTAGCCAGACTTTACAAAAAGGGCCACTATGAAATTAAGTGAGGGACATTTTACTTTCATAATGCCCTTGGTTGGTGTTATCCCCTTGTAAAGGGCTTATACCATATTTTGATAGATTCAATATTTTTTTTATTTTTTTTACATTTTAAGAAGAAAAAGTATTTTTCAAAAATTTTTCAGGTAACTTATTGCAGCCAAAAACATAAAATACTAAGTTCTACTAATACCCAACTTTTTAAAGATTGTCAATGGTTTAGCAATGAAAAAATAACTTATTTGATATAAATTGTTTATACTTTTTAAAAGTTTAAAAAATAAAAAAGACCTCAATCCTCAATTACTCAGTTTTGAGTCTTTTATCTTTTTGAAATCTAATTGTATTTGTGTCACTGATTACTCAACTAATCACTTCAAAGCTGGTGTAACTACGAACAAACACTTAGACTACAAACTACAATGGGACTGTGTCTGTTGTCTGTTAAATCAGATCACAGATAAGCATGTTAATGACTCAAGATGTTTGTCAAAATGGCTGCTCTGTTATTTGCATTCTATTTGTTTGACATGACATACGTTAAGGTTAAAGTTTATCATAAGACAGGTAAGTCGTTAGATTACTATTCTTGATTAATGAAGGCAATGGTACGTATACTGAAATTGTCATTGCATGCAATTGGCTCTTCTTAATTATAATGTAATGAGGACAATGTATTTAATGATCAAAATTTATGAAAATTTGAAAATAAATTCTGGAAATTTGCAATTTTATTTGTTTATTCAAAGTTAACTTAAAAGAAGATTCCTGACACGGTGTGTATTTAAACTTATTCATATAAAATTTCTTTGAATTTTTATAACTAAGTATAATGAAAGAAGACTAGAGAAACTTAGAAAGCAGAACTTGGTATTATACTTGTTTAGCTTTACGACTTAATATCAATTCTAAATTTTGTTTGTCTCATTTCTTTATTGTTTCGTTTCTACTTGTTGGCTTGTTATGTGTAACTTGTTTAAGTGAAATGTAAGCCAAAGACTTACGTAACTTTCTGAATGTGATACTTATTCAAGTTCATTGTGCTCATGAACTAAAATGAATAAGGAGTGTTTTTATTTGATTACAATATCGGCTTTGATTAGTCTTCTGATGTCTTGTGACACCTGAAGAATGCAGTTATGTTACCTACTACTAAACAATGGTCACTTCACAAGATCAGGTAAATTAATAACCATTTCAATTTGATTACCACTACGTGGATCATCCTAATGTTATTATACTAAATTACTGACCTGCTTTTCAGGAAATGGGTTCAAAGGGAAATTTAAACGTTTACCACGAGCACTCCGTAATTTCAAGCCGGAGAGAGATGTGTGTTTTTATCTTTTCACTGAGTGAGTTTAATATTCTATTAGAAGGATGGTTAAGTAACCAAAAACAGATGAGATACAAAGATACAAATAAGATAAGATAGATGGTAAATTATAATGCTAAAACTATACTTGTAAGACTAAAATTACTACAAATATGAAACATTTTTATATTACTCTTAGTCTTTTAAAATTGCACTGGTGGTTTTATCAATTTATAAAATTGCCCCCCTGGCAAATAATGCAGACTAGAGAAATTTCTCGTTAGGTTCTATAAAAAAAGGAATTTTACAATTATATCCACAAATTTGCATCAACGACTGCTGCAACATGAAAAATCAACAATTCTTTTTTCCATTATATTTTTTTGACAATTAGTCTTTTTTAGTTAAATCCACAGTAACAACATTCAATAACATATGTGTAGATTTGTTACAGGCACAATACTCATCAAGGCCACAGGATATATCCAGAAAAGCCATCAAGTCTTTTTATTTCTCATTTTGACTTCAACAAAGATGTCAAAATACTTATTCACGGATGGAAAAATACTGGGAATTCAACATTTGGCCGTATTGTCAAGGATGGTAAAGAATCAAGTCAATGCGATTCACTTGTACATAACTTGTTCACCAAAAACATTTTTCCAACATTTTAAATTATGAATTGTTGGTAGAAATGCATACAAACTGTGTCTTGTAATTCAAGTTTTGTAATCTTTTAAAATATTAAGCAGGTATGTTTGATTGTTAAAACGACATTAAATTTGAGCAAGCAGAGTGAAACATTATATTTGCTTGGATTCTTGAAGTTATAGTTTGGGGGCAATGTACATTTTTCCATGATGCCCGGTAGTCAAAATAAACAGCACCCTAAGATATAACTTCAGGAACCGAACCAAGTATAAATAGATGATAAATAATAAAATAGCTTGTTATTTTTAAGTTTAACTTAACTAAATTTATCGATGTATTTAATGTTAGAATTTTAAAACTGCAAATTTAAGGTGTGTAATTTTGATTCAACAGCTTACATCAGCCAGATGGGTGTGAACGTGATCGTAGTTGATTGGCACAAGTTGTCGATACTTGCATATCACAGGTCGTGCAGACACATGGACATGGTCGCAGTTAGAGTCGCAATTCTGTACGACTTCTTGCGACAGTACGTCGCACGACGTGCCATCCACATCATCGGCCACAGTCTTGGAGCTCATGTAGCAGGCATCGCCGGGGAAGTTGTCCAGAGAGGAAAAATATACCGAATTACAGGTCAGTCAGTGACAGATTTGATTGTGAACCAAATTTAAATTTTGATGACTAAATATGATTTTCTTCTGGCCCATAACCAAAAACAATAAAAAGTTGAGCCCCAATTATCTGCAAGTAATTTTTTGTATGTTTACATAATAACGTCTAACTTTTTCAGGGAGGTTATCAAAGACTATTTTTGTTATCTACAACGTACAATTCCACGGATAATCAGGGCTCTGTTATAAATAGTCTCCGCTACTGTAATTTTTTACATCATCTATCTAAGAATATTTTTCCGCTACTGTAATTTTTTACATCATCTATCTAAGAATATTTTTAACATTTGTACTAATGTGTTTGTGTCTGTGCAAATACAAAATCGAACCAAACTAAGGAAACAGTATGTAATGGGAGGAGTCAAATTTTAAAGAATGTTTGTGGAAGTACAGTATTGTAAGACGTAAGACAATACAAACAAGCAAGTACAAATAAAAACTGTTTTCAACTACTGTACACCTGTATAAGACGGTAGGCAGTAAGATGGAACAACTAATACTAGCGCTCTGCGCTCCAAGCGAGCATATTGATAAACTTTTTTCGCCCACCCTAATTAAATGGATCTCTTCGGATGGTTGGATTTTTACCGAAATTTGGGTATTTTACAGAAAATAGGCCAAGTCATACTGAGCACTCTTGCGATCACAGAACTTGTGTGTGTTCAACGATTAAAAATGCATACTTCCATCACGATCATGAAGGACTATAATGATTTTTCGTGACTTCAGACTTTGATCATTTAAAGACTTTACTTTTGATCATTTCCAGGATTAGACCCTGCGGGACCAATGATCAGCAAGATCAGGACTCATGGTCGGCTAGACAAGGAAGACGCAGAGTTTGTTGATGTTATACACACAAGTGGGTTCATGTTGGGGTTCTACTCACCCCTGGGACACGCTGATTTCTACCCCAACAAGGGAACCCCCATACAACCTGGGTGTGGGGTGGACGTTGTGGGTAAGTATAAACCTACTTCTGGAGTTTGCATTAATCAAGAGGGAACAAAATATTAACCACTTTTATGGAAAGGGATTAAGTCCAAATAAGTTACTTATTAAAATTATAGTTGAGGGTGGATGGGCAACAAAAGGTTTTTCTCAAATAACTACTGAACTCTAATCCCTTTTCAAAATGATACTTTGACCACTGAACACTCATCTGACCTTGATCTGAATTCACACTAAAAATATGTGAGGTGACACAGTAGTGTCCTGCTATTTCAAACTGACTAATTAGCAGGAATTAGGAATAAGGGGATTTCTGTAATACAGAAATTATTGATCATTGGATAATTTTCACGGTTTTGTCCCAATCACGGGTGATATCTCTGGGACCACAGATGTTCTTGATTTCGTTATGACTGTGAAAGACATTTTAATTTTGCTGTAACATCAGAAGATTTTTACAATTTTGCTGGAACCGCACTGAGCTTTTGTTACCATCAAAGCAAGCTTCTCCGAAGATGCACAATAAAAAATGTTGCCGTAATCGTGGAAGATGATGATATCTCTGGGACTGCAGAAGATGTTCATGATATTGTCGTGATCACAGACGATGTTCTCATTTCCATTGTGACTGTGGAAGATGTACTCAATTTCATGTTACATTCGTACAAACCTGTTGAAAAGTATTTCTGAACTTAAATTTGGAATAGGCGGATTTTTGAAGTATCAGGGTTGGGAACAGCATAAAACTCTGCTGTAGTTTTATTTAATTTTCTTATCCATTAAACTTTTACGGGGGTAATATTTGCGGTTGAGAAATTAACAACTATATCTTTTTAATTAATCTTTACTTAAAATTAATTTCCATTCTAGCTCCTGAGCTGTTGTATTCAATATAATAAATAGGTTACATACCTTATAAATCCGACAAACAGCTCATTTTGAAAAGAAGGTTGTTTTACAACAACCTTTATTAACCTTTATGTAACCTATTTATTATATTTAATCTTTACTGTTCTTAACCATATGTTGACAGGAAGATGCAGCCATAGAAGATCGTACCACCTTTTTCAAGAGTCAATATTTAACAGTTCAGAGTTTATGGCATTACAATGTCAGAACTGGAAACATTTTGTGAAAAACAAATGTTTCCCCACTTGGCATCGGATGGGAGAACATATCCAGTATGGGTAAGATCTAAGATCATTGCAAATTTCTCTACATAATTTAGTTCATCCATTGGATCAACTATATCTGGGTTATTAGAACAGTAAAAAATTAAACTTTTCCTTGTTTCAGAATTGAGGGAAAGTTTTTCTTAAGGACAGCTCGGAAATCTCCTTTTGATGTTGGCTACACTACTGATCTCAAGTCAAGGGTTCATAATTTAACCACCATTTCAAATAAAACTGTTTAATAACCAGTGTTTTTAGTGTTCTCCTATTGTAAAAATGAATGACAAATCAAACCACTGAATATTTATAATATCTGTTCTGCCATGGAGATAAGCACCAAAATGTTTTGAAACTGGACGTCGCGTATGCTCAGTCAAATTCAAAAGGCTGTTCCAGTACTATAATAGCCTAATAACAGAACAGTGGAAAATAAAGACAAAAATAGTGTAGAATTTTTTATTTGCAACCTAATATACAAGTTGATCACTGATCAGTCTTGAAATAACTTTTTGGATTACTGCAAGTTTGGGCTTCAGTTAGTTTAGTTATTTTTATCCAAAGGCTAATTTTTAACCATTTGAGTGCCTCGAGCGGATGAAACAATTTTATTTGAGGTTTGCCAGGTCTACATGTGGTGTTGCTTCTAGGAATGCCGGCCATTTCTACACATAAATGCAGGTGTTTAGGAAAATCGTCATAAAATACTTATTTATTAACATTTTTGGCCTAAATTTGTTTTGTTTTGTAGATTATTAGATCGTGCATTGTAAATTACTAATTTTAGTTGGGGTTTCATGAGTAAAAATAAAATATTTTCATGGGCAGGACAGAAATATGGTGCAGTTTATCCTCATTTTCAACGTTTGAGTTAAAATAACATAATTTAAAATTATTTATTGACCTTCAATTTTACAATCATTTTAAAGAGCATTAAAAACTAAAGAGAAATCATGTATAGTATAACAAATGTATTTATTACATATGTCCAAAAAAATATGTATCATTTACTACAAAGAAGTCTCGAAAAATTCTAGGCCCTACCCAGCAAACAACCTAAATCGTGCTCTAAGACTTATGTTGTTAAGGACAAAACTATATCATTTTACATTTGACTGTATTTTATTTTTATGTTGTTATTATTATGTTTATAATTCAAATTACTATTAGAATACTATTAGAAGCCATTCACAAAATATGCAAATGGTCAAAACAAAATCATGCACCTATAGGCCTTAGTTAAAAAGTCCAGTTACCGGTACACTTTATGTGATTAGCCACAAATTTATCACCAAAACACACAAATAACTTGAGGTATTATATATTTTTATAGGTATAAAATATATTTTTCAACAAATCATGACCATAACCTGAAATTCTATAACTACAACTCGTAAACAAACATTTACTAAAACGTAAACAGTCAAAACAACAACAGACGAACCAGCTGTGTAAAGCCGTCTACTATTGCGTAATGGTTTTTGATTGGTTGACCACATTTCTCAGTTCCATTGTTCAGTAAAAGAGCAAAATAGTTGTTGCCAACCTCCTTCTGTCACATTTAGTGTGATTTGCAGCCAGCTTTATTGTGATAGTCGATTATCTGAGTGTCTCGCACCGAAACTCTGGCAATTCTCGTGTAATCTCGACCGTCTCGCTACGAGACGCTTGGCACTCAAGCTACGACAATGGTGCGTCTCGGAGCGAGACGCGGCGGCACTCAAAGGGATAAATCAGATTTCACAATAAAATCTTTGTTAGATCAAACATAAAACTTATATTAATGTAAATAAAATCTGTTACAAAAATTTTCAAGGACAGCAAATAACACAACAATAACAAAGTTCCATAAATTACCCAGGTATTATCACTATTAACAGTTTAGAATATTTCTTAAAAACAACCAGTTTTGACTCCTAATTTTAATCAAGTAAATTGTATTTTTTAAAGTTTCAGAGTTAGATATCTTGACAGATATCCAATACAGTAGAACCTAGTATCAAATAGCAGGACTCGCTTTGGAAATGAATTAAACTTATTATTGAGGTAGACATCTTATTGAGGTATTTTTACCCAGAATTCATACAAATGCATGAAAATAAATATAAATAAGGTGATATTATACACATAACTCTATCACTAACATGGTCAATGTTCTGGAGACTTCATTAACAAAGTTATTTAAATTAAAATAAAATAAATATTTTAAAAGTTATTTAAATAATTTAAAGTTCTAGAGCATGGTTACTTTACAGTACATTGAAACTAAACATTACAACCCAGAAGTGTAAATAATGTATCTAAAAGATAATGTAGGAACAGGAACATGAGTTTGAATGAATCTAACTTAACAACGCTAACTAAAATGTAATGTGTACATTATTTGAACAAGGAGAAAAGTCACAAGTAAAGGAAAAACAATTAATTAACTTTAATGACTAAAAAGTTTACTATTATTTAGGCCTGCATTTGGGATTTCCACTGAAACGTAAAGCAAAAAAAAGGAGAGGAAAATGTGAGAAACTAGGAATGCCACGAAAGAAACCTGGGGGAAGGAAAAACAGAAGGTGAGAAAAAAAGGAAAAAGAAGGGTAGGAGAAAGTAAAAAAGCAATAGAATGGGAAAGTAAAAAGTGAGGGAGGAATGCTAAACAGGAGGAAAGGGAAAAGGGAACGAAAATCTAAAAATCATTGGAGGGGGGAGGAAAACAGATGAAACGACCAAAAACATGGGAGGCATGCATCTACACTTTTCACTCAGAGTGATCATTAAAATTGTATTTTGATAAAATTTAGACACCTGGATGTTTTCTTTGTACTGGAATTTTATAGAATCTTACAAAAACATTTATTTCTAGCAAACGTTATTTTAAATTACCACTTTGTAGATTTCGTATCACAAAGAATTGTACAACAAAAGTTTCACAAATTCATGCGAAAGTATCAAAATATAAATAGTAAATATACATTTTCCATCTTCAGTTTTAAAAGATTCAGAACCTCAGTAAAAATCACAGTTTAAGTTGCTTATAAAACTAAGCAATGTTGTGGTAAAAATACCCTTTATTGTTTCTTGAAACTTCTCAAAATAGGGTGCATGTTGTCCAGAGCTTCTTGACTTTCTTCTCGGTTTTTCGCACCTAATCATGGTATTCATTTAATTTATTTATTTTTTTGTTGAGGTAACTAGTAACTTAACTACATAGGGTGCATTCAATTGACATTCAAACATTATTGAATTCTTGAGTCAGTTCTTCAGTTTACTTCACTTCCAAGATGATTTTAGAATTTTTGTACATTATACAGATAAAAATTGCAATAGGTTTTTTTAATGATTCACAACATTTAACCAATTTAATCAGATTACAATTTTAATTATTACAATAAAATTATATTGCTGATACAGTTTAAATTACTCTTAGGATATAACTTCTTACCTCAAGCAATTAAAAAGCTAAGTGTAAAATAGTTTGAATAGTAGTAGTTATGTAAGGAAAGGCTCCATGATAGTATTGTTATTTTTAGAATGATGAGAGGGTAGCTAGCTTACCTTAGAAAAGAAAGTATGGTAGGCCACAATACACATACATACAGAAAACAAAAAAATCAAACAATTTTTTGTCACCTGGGGGAGTTCTGTAAAATTATTAGACCTACATGTTAGTTCTATTTAGAACAGTATTTTAAAATAAACTAACCTGTTATGACAAGTTTTCCATTGACAAAGATGAGTAAAACAACTCGAGGTTTAACCATTCTGTAGATCAAAGCAGGAAACAGTTCCGGTTCGTAACTGAAACGAAAAATGTAATGTTTACACCGTTCATCTTAAATGTTTGTAAGTACCAAGATTGTAAACTTTGGATGATAAAGGACTAAAATAAATGTTTGTCAAAGTTGTTAACGATAAATAATCATATTAAATGCTTGCCAGCTCAAGGCCCCACTAGAAAAACAGGCCATGCTGCAGCGCGGGCAGCGCAACACTACGACACAGTGGTGGATAGTTGTACTAAACTCTTACCATTAAAATCTTACAAAGATTCAGCTTGTTTATTTACCTAAAACATATGGGAATGGTAATGGCAATGAATTTATCAATGGAATCTATCTACTAGTGTGACGTCATGGATCCTGCAGCATGGCCTGTTTTTCTAGTGGGGCCTTGGCCAGCTTTAGTACCTATAGAAAACAATTTCTATTTGCATGTATCAACGAACAACAACAGTTGAAATATGCATTATTTTGTTTGATTAGTAATAATTTATTCAATATATCTTTATAAATTGTTTTAGGTAATAAATAAAAGGTTAATCCAACTTCACTCACCTGCTGAACTGGCCATGCATCTGATTCAAATTTTCAAGCCTTATTGGGAATCGGAGATCACACATGGTGACCATATTGTGAATTTTGAAGTTAAGGAATCTCACCTGTAACATTAAACACGCATCATATGTTAAATGGTTTCTTAATATTAAAGTGAAGTACACTATTAGGTTGTCTTAGATTTTGAGGTTGGGGTTCTGGAAAATAAGTATTAACTAGTGTACCTGTTGCTCGAAATCGAGCAATTGTCAAGTACCGGTATTATACAGAAGTTATTTGAATTAAAACTACAGTAATAACGGTCATAATTTTCGATGAGTTTAAAAGATCCGACTAAATACTTATGTAACTAATTGAAATACTCACACTATTTAATAGCGCTTTGAAATAATAAACGCATCTTATAAAATTATTTTAGCATTTTTTGGACCCAGCCTTAGTTTTTAGTGTTTTCTACAAATGTTTCCCGACTTAAAGCTGTTGTACCAGTAAACATTTCTTGCATGTATTTATTTGATCTGACTTTAGGTAGGTTTACTTTACCACTATGACAACATGATGTGTATATTCTTCATGGTTTTTTTTTTACTTCCAAAAAGTTGCTTAGCATAACTGGCAAAAATGATTCATCTCCCCAAGTGATTGTGTACCTGAATTCCTTACTGTGACACCAGGCCTCTCCCCTACTCTTTTCATACATATAAGATTTCCTATTAATTGTCTCCTCCTCCTGTTTTCAATATTTATCCTTTGAACTCAAGAAATTGTCTGTTCTTCCAACAAAACTGATTTGACTGTTTAGATTTGTCTATAACCTCTTAAATATTACAAACATCAATATTTACAGTGCTCCAAAAAAGCTGGTGAGTTTATTTTTATACACAGCTGTTTTTGTTTTTAAATTTCTTTTCAATGTAATTCTTATGGGGAAAATGCGACATTTGAGAGCGTCTCGTGCCCTTAAGGGTAAGAGTCTAAAACCTTTATGCAAAACTACGAATTGAGACGAATTATTTGACACCTCAAACGTTAAAATCGGTCTAAAAATAACGGAGGAGTTTTGTTCACAAAAAACAGCCCTCACATATTAATATAAGAGACTAGCTGAGTACCCGTCCTTCGTACGGGGTTGGTATACAATGCTTATTGTAGTTAAATGCTCGTGCTTTGCATTTGCAATGAGAGAGGACACGTTTTGAGAAAATTTGGTTTACTATAATCTACGGTATACTATAGTATATAGAACATCTACCATAGCCATAATGTTCTACCACTTCACCTAAACAATAGAAAGAAGTAAAGTTCTCTTTCTCACACTCAGATTTTTGTTGCTGCTTGGTTCAAATTAGCTGTTAGTTTTCATAAATGTATAAAGAACTAATGGTGCTGCACCCTGTTGGTAAACCGTATAACCTTTTAATGCTATTGAATATCATAGAAACAAATTGTGTAGTTGAAACAGCTGGCAAAATTATTTAATTCCTTTTAAATATGAATACTCATAAATAAGGTTAACATGGGAAACTCTAGATCATATATGTATAAAAATGAAATATCAAGTAGAATTAACTTATAACTTTGTAAATTTAGAATTTAGTAATGTAACATTTTGAATTGGACCGTTATCATTATTTACCAAATTGTCCATTTTATTTATAAATAATGATTCCCATGCATTTAGTTCATTGGATTTTGTTATATTTTTTAGTAATTTAGTATTATTGATTGATATTGTGTGGTCCGTTTCTAAGCAATGTTTTGCTATTGCTGATTTTTCAGGTCTGTTGTGTGTTATGTGAGAAGTGTGTTCTTTGAATCTAGTTTTAATATTTCTTTTTGTTTGTCCAACATACTTCATCTCACAACTGTCACACTGAATTTGATAAATGCCAGATTTTGATGTATTTTCTAATTTACTTTTTGGATTTCCAAGAATGTTTTTAATTTTGTTTTTCGCTTTAAATGAAACCATTAATTCAGCATTTTTCTGAAACGTTTTCTTGACGTCTTTATATTGCTTAGTATAGGTAGCGCTTACCCATTTCTTCTTTACTTTGTTTGGTTCCAGTTTAGTTCTTTTCTTTTTCTCATTTCTTTTTAAAGCTTTTGTCAACATATTGTCTACAATTTTGGTTTCGTATCCATTATACTTAGCCACGTCTTTTATGTAGTTAAGTTCTTTATTATAATTTTCTTGGGACAGTGGAGTATTTAAGAGGCGATATATCATTGAATTAAACGCTGATCTTTTTTGTTCTGGAGGGTGATGAGAAAATAATATCAAACTCAAGCAAATAAGCAAACTGTAAATATCAAACTCGAGCTTTTCATTTTTCCGTAGGATTAGTACATCCAGAAATGAGATCTTCTTATCATTTTCAACCTCATATGTGAACTTTATTGATGGATATATGGAGTTTA